CCCCAAAACCCCAAAACCCCAAAACCCCTGGCTGCTTTATAGTGTGAATTGGATAGGTGTTGATATATTCTAATTAAAATTATTCAATAGTTAATAAAATAAGTGTTATTTTGTGTGTATTTATGGCTTAAGGTACAGCTTTCATAAATCAAGCGGTTGGCCTGTGGTTTACTACGATAAGTCTATGGGTTAAATCTCCTAACCAATATGCAAAGCTCGTCCAGTCTTAGTAAACAACGTTAGCAAATTCCGCTGCTATTGCGCTTAGTATGTAATAGAATTCAAAGGCAGCATTGTAAAGGATAATGATAGGGTTGTAAACGTTATATTTGACTGTAGTTTTTATTGTATACTATGTCAGATCATAAACAGTATAGCAAGAAAAGGTCAAATTTGTAAGTCTCATGAAAGAATCTGCAACTCTGAAAACTCCTTCCCTTATTTCTGAACTGTTTTATATAGATTAACCCCAATTATAGTAATCTATTGCATTATAGTAATCATAAGAGAACATGGTAATATTCTACTCGCACTGATCTAATTTATCCTTATCCTACAGTTAAGCTCCTCTTAAATAGTGATAAAGATATTGACTTCCTAAAGCTGCGTAGTCAAAGGAAGGCAAATCAGGAGGATATTTGTTGATAAGATCCTATGCACTTGCTTTCAAAGCTTTTTTAATTGTATCGTATTAGAGTGGAGTCTTTTAAGCCAGATCTTAGAAAAATATAAGGAAGACTATTCTGAATGAGTCGAAACTAATTTGAGGAAAATTTTTAGAGACGAGGGAATCATATAAACTTGAGCCCCTAGTATCAAGGTCTGTGTAATTCTACACAATATTCTTCTTAATCATTTTGTAAGCAGAAGTTGCGTTTTGCCATCTTAACCAATACGATTTCCAGTTTCTGTCTAGAGAACCGCCTACTTCGAAGCAATTTCTCAGAATGGGAGAAAATCTACCCATTGAATTGGTGAAATTAAATGTGCCTTCCAAATATTCCTTATCAATAATACTGATTGTCATGTTGAACAAGTCCATAACGTAATTGTCTATATTCTTCACACACAACTCAGAGTTGCTTATATATGTGAACAGCAGAAATCCATCCATCGCATTGTATATAATTTTCCTGATGTCACTTGAGGGATCAAATGATTATTAGAGTTGAATCCTGTTTTCAATAACGTAATTCTTGTAAGACTCTTCAAAGGCGATTAATTACTCTTCAATGTCTTATTGATTAAAGTGATCTAGTGCTTATGTGTGTGGGAGCAGTAATGTTAAGAAGACAATAGTAAACAGCAATAAAGTTTATTTGCTTTTATGTTTCATCATTATTCCAAATACTAATTTCATTCTTATAATTATTATTTTAAATTGTTATTTCTCCCTGATTTCTTCAGATCTTAGTTTACGGGGTTTTGGGGTTTTGGGGTTTTGGGG